TTGATATTGGCACGAAGCTAACGTTATTAAAAAATAAAGGCGCGGTATTTTGACGCACTGTTCAAAGAACTTCCAATAAAAATAACTCAAATTTAATTCAATTAATTTTCCTGGTTTTACTACGTGTATTAGTTTTAAAATAAAAACTAAGAAATTGTAGAAAAGAGCGAAATTTGGGCAGTTTATTCTAATACAAAAAAAAAAGAAATTTAGGTATAAAAAGGCATAACTACGCTGAGAAACATCCCATTATCGTACGCCCATCCCCGGAATCACGTGGTCGCTAATTGACTACAATGGCAGTTGCGTATGGAGCGCATTTTCTATTTTGTTACCTCAAAACAAAGCTAACAATGAGCGAACGAAGCAAAGCGCGGTCCGTGGAGAGGTCACTTATGCGGCATCGAGGCGGTCTCCCTTGAATCTCTCTTCTGTTTCTCTTTCTCTCTTCTTTTTTTTTTTCTTGTCGTCTCTGGCTTTCGAGGATCGGCGACGAAATTGAGATTGTAACATATAGTCGAGTGCTCTTTGTATATACGAGCACACCACCAGTCGCCATCGTGGAGAGCGCGCAATTACATCGTCGCCCCATTATACGCCCCGATCGCGTTTTGTTACTGTTACTTACGGCAATGTACAATATATCCCCCGAGATATCGGCGGAGGCGAGCAATAAGAGAGATCGGCGTTATTGTTTCCGGTATTGTACCTCGGAATGAGCCGCGCGTTCTTGAATTGTGTGCCGCGTGTTTTCGTCGGCATGGCAAGGTGTTGCTTCCCGATACTCGACCGGTGGGAACTACTTGCGTACATACACACACACACACACACACACACATATACAGTTCTGTGTACTGATTCGCTGATTATAGACTTATTAATTATTAAAAAAACTCATCACATAATCTTTTAATATAAAATATTACACTATAGTATCATATTCAAATCCTCGACACGTTTTAACGTCGACTATATTTTTCAAACATAAAACAAAGAGTTTTTCCAAAATTTATATAAAGGTACATAAAAGAAATTTTTGATGTCACTGAAAATATAAAAAATATATATTGAGACCTTATCGAGATTATCATACTCATGTGTCTACGCATGTGTGTCGAACTTTATACGCGACGGAAACAGCTTTTTATTTTAATCGAAGGAATTCCACGGCATCGCAGTCGGCACCGGTTTGGCTATTAACAATACCGCGCGCCGTTCTGTTATTATTGTTGCAGTCGTTGCCGCTGAAGTAGCTTGTCGAGAAGTCCCGGGATTATTATTCACTCACCCGGAAACGTTACAGTGTTACTTACTGAAGAGCGTTGGCCTCCTCAACTACAAGAGCAAAGCACCCCTCCGGGGGTGCTGCAAGAGCGAGCGGGTTTTCTTTCTCTTTCTCTTTCAGCCAGCAGACACTTTGTACGGGAAATGGTAACATACGGCGACTCGAGGACTTTATTAAATCGAGATGTTAATTGAGCGCCGCGATACCGCTCCTATGTGTGTTTCTTCCCGGACGCGATTCACGCACCCTCTATCGACGATTTTTATATAACTGCGATACATTCTTATGCTTGTGATAAAATCTTAATATAAAAAAAAAAGAATTACATCACACAACTAGTTATATTTAAAAAAATTTAATTTTATATATATATATATGTAGGATAAAATTTATATAGATATACAGATGAGAGATTATATATCTAGTATCTCAAAACTCAAGATAAGAGCTTATTTCAGTTTTGTTATAATTTTATAACATAAAATAACTAAATAAAACAAATAACTAAATTTTTAAGTAACAATTTGTAACTTTGTCAAGCGTGACTTTGAACGATTTAGCAAACCAGTAGCTAAACTGTCATCAACAAAATGTATAACGGCATTCTATTATAGAAGTTCTGAAATTTCCTTTGACACTCTTCGCTTTGTGTACAGACGAGTTCTTTTAATAAATAGCAACACTGTGTCTCACAAACATAAACACCAAGAATAATAGTATTTTTCTATAATAGTATGTTCGCATAAAAGAATTCTTGAATTTTTACACAAATATATAAAGACATAAAAAAATCTACGCAAAATCTTTCAAACCAAAACAATTAAACCAAACAATTAACTTCTTAATATGTTATTTTGTAATATGTTTTTTTTTCTCACGACTTATATAATATAATTATATAATATAATTAAGATATAATTAATTATATATAATATAATTAAGACAAAATATATATATTATGAAGAAGAATAGATTATAACTTATATTGTTAAAAAATAACAATACTTACAAATTTATAATAAATATTCATAGAAAATAATAAAAATATTTATAAAAACTGGGTAAAAATAAATTATAAGATTATTTCAAGTAGAGATTGCGAATATGTTTTTTTGTACACATTATATTATTAATAAATTTGAAACATCTGAAAGTTTTACATTTATGCGCACAATTTGAGCATTCAATGGGGTGAGGAGTATAAGATGCCATTATCGACACAAACATATTTAAGAGTAAAGAAACACTAATGCGCATAAGTGGCAACAGATTCGAGGATTCGTTCATGCGTGCAACGAGAGTCATTCAGCACAGTTCGGCTGAAAAGTGTACCGATACATGTCCCGCATCTCTTGTACAACTTCGTGAGAATATTCTCTCCTTCGTGTTTCTTCTAGCTTGTCGTAACAAGAGTAAACCGACAAATTTATTTTGATCTAAGCATATGTACATTTTCCAAATTTACTAAAAAAAAAAAAAAAAAAGGGAGTTAATACGACTTAATGTATTTTTTTTGAAAAATAATGTCTTAAATATTTGACAATTCAATACACATGACAAGTTAAAACTGTTAGGAAGAATTCTCTCGACTTGTTTTTTGATGTTTTTGACGAAGAGCGAGTCGAATCGCATAAAGGTACCGCGAGAAAGACCCATTTGGCGATACAAAACAATATTACCAGAACCAAAGTTCAAAGATCAGATTTAGAATCGTAGCATCGTTATAAGAAATAACACAGTGTTTTTTTGTTCTAAAGAAAAAGCTCGACTATTCTTTGCCGGTCTTTGACAAAGACGTCAACAACATAAAAGTTAGATCTTTCAACTGTCGACACTATTTGCCCGATCAAATGATTACATGATGGTTCGTGCAAGGCATCGGTTTTCGGCGTCGGTCTTAAAACGCACTGACAGAGCCGTCGACAGTTAACGCGGGTCTGCTTTGTGCTACGATTACCGCTTAAATCACCGTGAAATTCCCGCAAAATGCTCGCTTTGTGTCAGTTTCGACAACCAGGTAAATTTTCGATGTTTCCATGATCTCTGCGATGTATATAACACACAGATGGAAGTAGGGCATCTCTCTGTCGTTCTGGTTGCCGTTAAATTTTTACATATACAAAAATAATTATCTTGTATTGTTTTAAATCCGGTGATAAGCCTATATATAAAGATTATCATGCACATAATGCGGATTGTAAAATAAAAATAAGTCAGAGAATATGTTCAAGAGATTTATAACATTTTATTTATACATACTTTAAAGCTTTATTTACACACGCGCGGTGTTTTACACTTTGGACACACTAACCACGTGCATCGGAATAAAATTTTCACATTCTATAACTTTTAAAAATGTATTTTTAATTAAAGAATTAAATAACACTATTATGTAGATATATTCAGCCATCATTTTTACAATAGTGTGTACACTTACATAGTTTTCTCCGGATATGTTCTTCATGTCGATCGAAGTATCTCTAACTTGATAATTTCTTATCTATCTTGTTTGTTGATAATTTCTATATAAATTAGGTTTTGCTCGATCTTTTTTGCACACAACAATTTAGAAATTGCAGCGCATATACATTTTACATTGTCTTTTACATTTATTTGTATATTTTTCACATGCGTGTTTTGTATCAATACAATTTAAAATCGTTATTTTCTTTCTTTCATTTTTTCACATCTACTTTGATATTAATATGTATATCGAACAAATTTCATATACATTGAAATTGTTCAATAAAGTTCAAAAAATTTATTGCATTTGAGTCTTGTATATATTATATGTTTTCTTCTAATAATATAAAAATAATTATTACACACACACATTCTTTCTTTCGACAGTGCTATTAAAATTTAATGTTAATTGGCATGATATGTCTTCATCACAGCTTGTGTCTTTGTTTTATTTCTAACTGCACAGACTTTAAAAAATTATTTTCAAACTATCATAGCCTAACTATCTGTGGTTTTATATTTTTGGAAACATATATTGTATATTAAAAATATCAATAACATTAATTAAATTGTAAATACGTGTTTTTGTTTTATATTCTTAGTATAGATTAAGAAAACTGAGAAATAAGTTCAGTTGTTGAGATTTATTGCCGATAATTTTAACAAATATTGATATGATTTTACACTTTATAAATAAGGCAGTTTTATAAATACATGTAATATTTGCAAGAATTTTGTAATGTAATATTTGCAAGAATTGTATTTCATAAGTTGATTCATATTTTCAACTATATGTGCGTATTTGTATATAATATCTATAAATTTATATATATATATATATATATATATATATAAGATATATATTTTATTATATATCTTATTAAAAAAACCTATTTTTTACTGGAAAAAAAATTAATTTTAAACATATTTCTCATATAATTCTTATTAATTATATATATAGTAACAAGTTATCTAAATTTATGTACAAAAAAGAAAAAGATAAAATTAATTATCTTCTCTCTCTCTCTAACAATGTAGAGAACAAAACAAAAATAATATTTTAAATAATAATTCTCTTTTTCTCTTTTTCTCTATATTCATAAAACTTCTTCTCTTTTTCTCTCTTTCCCTTTCTCTAGAAAAAAAAAAAACTGTTAAAGAATAAAAATAATTGACTATATAATTATACAATGTAACATTTACTCTTGTATCGAAGTAACCGAAAACAAGCGTTCTTTGCAAACGCGTTACTTCAAGAACGATTCTTTTCGCGTTGCTGCTGCACATACATGTCACGAATTATCCTCTCAATCGGAATCTCGCCGATTGTTCTCTTGAAGAATAGCTCCTGAATGGCTTGCGCCGATACGGAACGCAACATTGGCAACATGAACAGCAACCTGCCGAATCGCAAGGTGCCGGTCGACATTGAGTTCATGTTAAGTCGCTGTCCCAGAGCTATGTGCGCTCTGTCCCTCAATTCTCTCAGTTTCTCGACGGAACTCGCGTCCCGGAATTGAATTCTGGGACTGAGCGAACTGGAGCCGCTGCCTCCGTTGCTTCTCTCGCCATAGTCCAGACCAGCTTGAAAGAGCACTAGCGCTCTGTAACAGCTAAATTCGTGATGATCCAAATTCATCGCACTGAAGCCAGTTAAAATCTCGCAGAATTTGGTCACTTCGATCGTCAGTGTGACTCCTTGCGGACCAGGCGGGACCAATGGAGTTGGGTTCAAAGAAGGTAGCATTTGAGCCGCGGTGAGGAGAAAAATATCACGCCAAGAGGACTCTAACAACGTAAGTTGATCCTCCATGATCAGATTCGAGGTTGCAATTAGCTCCGTTGCCCAATCTACGTTAAAGAAGAGCAATCTTGCCGCCTGTTCGCATATACTGTCGACCACCATCAATGGAGATGTGAGCGGCACATTTATTGGCAGATGCTACAGATAAAATATACAGAAATTCTTTTTTTGAAATCAATCAATCTAATCTATCTAATTATTATTAGCGTTGTGATAAAAGAAAGTTTTTTTTTTTTTATCGAGTCTTTTAATTCCGAAAAGTTAATTACATCTTATTTTATAAAATTAGTTTTATCGAACTTGTAGAACTTCTTTAAATACAAAAATAACCGTGTTAAAACAATCGACGTAAAAAAAATTTTAAAAACTACGAAATACCTTCGTCATCGTCAGCGCGTTGCTGTAAATGGCATGTGATAGCAGTGATTGGGATGGTGGCGACAATGGTATGGAAACACGGGTTTCGCTCGGTGTTTTGGGCAGAGCAAGATCTAAGGCCGCAGGTGGCGGTGCCACCACGTTGGCCATCATTTCGGGTTCCTTAAAGTACAAAGCCATCTGTCTGCGAATTGTCGAATTCCGCGGTCCTCGCTCGTGCTGCACAGCTATGAAAAACAACATATATTAAAAATAATTGATTTACCTTCCGAGAAATTGCAAGACAGCGTCGGAGAAAGGACAAATCAACGCCCTAACTTACCGTCTTTGTTCATACCAGCCTGAATACACTTTGCCAATCTGCAGGCTCGACATTGATTTCGGTGTGTTTTGTCCATTATGCAACCACCTTCGGATTTAGCTTTGCACACGTATTGGCGGTTTCTTCTGATCGATCTCTTAAAAAAACCAGCGCATCCGTCGCAAGCGAAAATTCCGTAATGTTTTCCGGAAGAATGATCGCGGCATACCTTGCACGGCATGTCGTAGAGTATGCGACCTGAAACAAAGAAGAAAATTCTTCCCGGGTAAAACACACGACTTTAAAAGACAAGAAACAAAAAGTTTTATATCCTTTTTGTTTTTATATCTTAGTTGGAAAAATAATCTTCAACGGACGGACGTTTTCGTCTCGAGCAAAATTACTTTCTAAAAAAAGTAATTTTCTTGTTGTCATATTTGCTAAAAATTATGAATTAAAATAGAAAAAACGGCCGAATTGTAAGAAAAATCAAAATTGGAAAGACGACCTTCCGGCCTTCGGGCCGGAAACAATTTCATTGTTTAATTTTTCAATTCTGCCTCCAACCGCAGCCCGAAGGCCGGAAGGTCGTCTTTCCAATTATGAATTAAAACTTTTTTTTCCACTAAATTTAACGACAGTGTCTCACAATACAGTTTAAAGAGTACACCGAAAAAATTGTATTCTTGTTTTGAGGATATCCCACTTACTTTAAGTATATTTTATACTAAAATAGGCGCCAAGAAGAGTTTCTTATTTTAAGAGAAAAATCCTCTAAATAGTAATATTGATAAGAATATAAAAAGCCTCTATAGAAAAACA